TTAGCAGCAGTAGTATTTGTTGCTGTTGAGCTGGGTCTGGCTAGCTATGTGATGATGAGCTCGAGTTGATTGAGACTGGTTTCATCGGTGGTCTTGGTCTGGGTGTTGATGAGGATGAGGATGAGATTGATGAGGTTGAGTGTATTCTGTTGTTCATGGGTTCGGTTTGATGGTGATGATGGTTAGGTTGGTGGACTGATACCCTCTGTCTGACTCCGTTCTTCGTTGGGAACATGATAGGTTGTTTTCGAGTCGATTGTTGTTGTTGTTTTTGATCAGCTGGTAGGCTGATTGGTTGGCTTCGATTGTTGTTGTTGTTGTTGTTATTCATGATGATGATGATGATGATGATTCGTTTGTTGTTGTTCTCCTTCGTTCGTTCGTTCGTTCGTTCGTTCCGTTCTGTTCTGTTCTGTTCGGTTCTGTTCGGTTTGTTGGTTTGTTTGTTGGTTTTTGTGAGTTTTGGTTTTTTGATCTTCCTCCTGAAATCTTGCTGATTGTTGTTGACCTCATGACCGGGGGGACAGACACGGGGGTGGAGGGGGGAGAATCGGGGAGAAGCTACAGGAGATCGATCCTTTCCCATGACGTCGTCACCCTATCCTTAGCTTAGGATTGGCTCATCAGTCGAAAAACAGCTCCGGCCATAATGAACTCGTGATCAAAAAAACAATGATATCTGAGTTCATCTGATCGAAAGTTTTCTTACTAATTAATCAAACCACATTTATATGGAGGACTTCCCATTGTCATGGACCCATTGCCATTTATTTAGACCCCTCCAAGTTCTACATAAATCAACACTGTAATCAGAACCATGACCAGCTCACATGAGAGCAAATATAACAACATTAAGGCTTCCGAAAAAAAAAAACAGTTTGTTTTTTGCCAAAAATTAAGATCTGAGTGGTGTAAATCAGATTCTGCAAGGGTTCTAAATCCCAACAGGAAGACATCCAGTATGTTGTCACATAAGTACAAATCCACAAGAATTAATTAGGGAATGATCCTCAATCACTGTACTAGTGGTTGAATGACTGATGCATCTGCATGATCAGTACAAATTATCTTAAATCAAAGAACGAGTGGAAGTGTCTTCTTGGTAATTAACTAGGACGGTTCACGTCTGAACTTTGGAGCAAGTTTTATAGCATTTATCATTAAAATTTTGCCAGTTTGTCAAAAATCTCAAATTCTTCCAAACCTGATGATTCATGAGATTTGACAAAATTCACAAAATTTTATCCATAAAAGTGCTAAAAGCTGCCTTGAACTTCAGACGTGAACCGGCCTACTGAAACTATCAGTTGGTTCCTCATGAAGCTGGAAAGAAGGTCATCATTAGTTTCAGGTACAAGTCATGAATTTGAGGATGAGAGACACTAAGCCTAACTTATTAACTTATAAACTAGTAGAAAAATAAATTCTGATCAAAACTCAGTAAGAGTGGGGTTTAATATGATTGAAATTCATAAGATTTTAAGGTCCATTTTTAGGTGTTCATCAACAACTTTTGTGTAAATTCAGTAATGTGGAGGACTTCCTGTTACCCAAACAGCTTATAGATTCAGAAGGGGGTCCCAAATCTTATTGGCTCGTGAAAACTCGATCTCAATTGCGTTCTACCAACAGATAATGTTTCTTACCTCTCAATCAACAAATTTAGATCACATCAGTTGTCCTAGCTTTGTTCAGAAACTTCAAAATCCGGCAAGCTGATCAAATTTCAAAAATGTCAACCATGAATATGTATAAAGGCATTAATAAATTCGATTCTCAAAAGTTACAAATTTTAATCATAATCATGGACTCTGCTAATTATAAAAAGAAGCTAGAATTTAAACTGGACACAAAGGCAAAAAAGAACCGGTAGGGCAGCTGCTTAGTGAGTGTACAATTTTCAACACTGTTAATCTATTAGTTTGATTGGCCACCAATCGATCTTGCTAGTTTTTAAATGAGTAGGGTTGGTTTGGAGTTGGTTGTTGTGCCAGGAGTTTATGAGAGTACTGTCGACCTGTGCACGACTCGCCCGGCAGCTGGACCTGAGCATGGCATTGGCGGGTCACCCAAAGTAACTTTTTGGAATTTAGATTTGATCTAGAGTACTACGGCTTGGTGGCAACGTAGGGCGACATGTAAGATGGTTTGGTATCCTCAAGTAGGACAACGGTCAGCGAACACCCTCCACTCCAAACTCAAGTCTACGAGTTCGCTCTTTCTCTCAGTCTCAACCAACACACTGTACACCAGCCAACACACGTTCAACTCCACCCGCAGTCGCTTCGACTCTTTTGGCTTCCAAACACCGCTGCAAAAGATGAAACTCTCGATCGTCGCTTTCGCCGTCGCGCTGAGCCTCGCCGTTTCAGCTGTCTCCTGCCAGCCTTCTGACAACGTCATCAAATGTGTCACTTGCACCCAAAGGACTGCCAAACAGTGCAGAGTCACCGGGCACACTGAAAAAGAAACCTGTGACTTCCCGTTGAAAGGGGGCGGTTTCTGTCAGCAAATGCGCACCAAGAACCATTACCGATGTAGGAGGACTGAGTGTGCCACTTGGACTACCATCAATGCCAGAAATTCTGAAGACAATCAAGAAGCATGCAAGCACAGGCATAAACATATATCCACCTTTCAGAACGAACCTGTTATGTATGAGTTCCTTTAAGTTATTGCAATCAGAACAGTATGTATGTATCTGGGAAACCTTATACAAATGAAAAACTTTCCTGTTTGTAATGATGTTATATATTAGAACAAGCCAAAGCACTTGAATTCATAGATCAGTAGCACAAATCCCTTAAACTCATTTTTTTAAAACATTTGGTGATATTCATTCTCCTTGATAGCGTTGAAGGATATGTGTTTCTTTGGTTGAGAGTTCAGGCCTTGATGACATGTGACCTGAACAGTTTGCTCTACATAAAGCCATGATAAACTGTGAAGATACTGAAATGTAAAAAAAAATGGTAAAAATGAATTGGGCACAAAAGCGTCTCCAATTACTGTTGGGAATAGTTGGTCCCATGTGGGGGTTTCATGAACTACTTTATCCCTATTGATCCTGATAAGCCCCTTCCCATCTTCCTTCCCAAATCATCCAAAAATTTGCAGTGTGGACTGTCAACCAAAATCCAATCAGGAATTCATTAAATCAGATCAGATTTTGTTGTTTGTGATCAATTTTCCTTTTCTCTTCATCCTAAGAAAGATAAATTCTCACGGTTTTTCCCTTCTATGTGGGACTTGGTCATTGCTTTCTAAGAAAAGAGATTTGTGACATGTTTTTGTTACTTTTTTGGATTGTAAACTGTTTTGTGCAATTTTTAAGAAAAACGGGCATTCTCACCATGACCTCAAAAAATGACAGATTTTGATTGATTTGATGAACTCTCTAGCCCAGATTTGTGATTTATTAACATAAACTGGGGGTAAACAAATTATTTATTTTAGCTTCAGAAGATGTCTAAGACAATCTTATAACTGGTCTTCCTATTTACTGGATTCAAAAAGTATCTGTTAATACAGCTAGCAATTATATTCTGCCTCAAATTTATCTCTTACTAAAAGAAGACCTGGAGGAATAACAGAGACATTCAGTAAATCAGACTGGCATATTCACAGTGTGTTACTGAAGAACACATGTTTCCTGAAATCAGTTGGACTTAATTTGTCCCAGCAGATCTACCAAAATGCATATAAAGAAGAAATCAGGAAAAAAGGCAAAGCTCCCTAGATGACAAGTGTCATTATATAACATTGGTTGCAACTCCAGTGTAGATCCAGTGCTACTGCAGTCTGCAATCCACCCACAATGGCCCCTTTGTGTGTTACAGGGGGCTGAACTGGGGTTAAGCTGGGTACATAGTGGGAAGCATGATGCACTTAGCCTGATACCACTCGTCATCAGCTGAGCATTGTTTTTTTCTCCTGCTGAGAGTGAGTTAAAAAATAAAAAAATAAAAACAAGAAACAAAAGAAAGTAAACAGGATACTAAACTAAGAACAAACCAAGATGATGGCAGTGAGAAACTTTGATGATTATTGAAAAGGTATATTATCTGGTGGAGAGGAGCTAGAAAAAAAAGGATTTCAGACATTCTACATAGCTGGTATTTTTGGGTAAGATAAATATAAAACAAATTCCTAAAAGCATGTTTGTCTATGTCCTTTCTCATAAGAATACCTTTCCACAAGTTCAATATATATAACAAGGAATCAACTAGCACACAGGATTTCCCCTTTTGAAAAAGGGCCTTTTTGGTTTACAAAAAGGGGCCTCAGTTAAGAAACTACGATGAATTGTAATTTGTAGCAGAAACTCCCATAATTTTTTCTACATCCACCAGACCAAATTTGAGATGTTTGAGTAACTCAATTCTGGTAAAAATTTTGGGCAGCTGCATAGCCGCCTTGATCTTTAGTAACCATGAGGTTTCATTCAATAGAAAAATCAGAAGTATGAGGCATAGTGAAGTTAATAATGAGCAGATGAAGGATGAAGACGAAGACAACATAATCTGGATGGAAGATTCCAAAAAACTTACTCAGTTATAAGTCCTGGAAGATTTGACCACGAATCACCGGCACTTTGGTATTGCAAAAACATAAGATGCTGGTTTGACTAACAAGGGTGAATGGAATTCGCTTGAGAGATAAGTCTGCATAACTTTGGTATTTTCGAGGAAAGGAATAAATGGAAATACATTAGGGCCTGTACCGTAGGGTTCAATTTTCAAAAGTGAGCATTTTTTCCATCCTCTACACAAAAACTGGGAACAATTGGAGAGATCTGGTGTTGAAATTCTTCACTTTCATGCCAAAGACTAGCTTCTAGTTATGGTCAATTTTGATAATATAAAATTTTGAGCAAGATAAATTTTGAGAAATTGAATTTTGATGTGCTATGGTACAGGCCCTAAAGATTGCTACACGAATTACGATGGTGGAAGATTCTGATGGGACCAGCTCCCATCATTTCTTCAGCTCACCCAAGTATTCTACTGGGCCTTTTCCGTCTAGATACAGCCGGATAAGAGAGACTTAGCAATGCTTTTGAGTTACGTTTTACTGTTGGCCGTTGCGTATCACCATGCTTGAGAAAATCCTGTCGGCGGTTCGGGAGAGATGGACGGAAAGTGCTGATGTAAGCTAGATTCAGGATGAGCATCCGGTTTCTCATATCGGCGGGACGCCGACGATTCTTTTACAGATGTAGTACATTTCTTGGCTACAAGGATCTCTTAGTTCAAGCCTTTTAATGTTCCTCCTAGCATCGAATATCATCATCGTTGATGAAGTTGGGTTTTGATTGATCCAAGCGCAGGCCGTCATCGCAGTTCATCGCCCTCTGCTTGACTGGTCCTTGCAATAACCTCCGGCATCCTACCGAGACAAGTTTGACGGCTCGGTATCCTCAAGTAGGACAACGGTCAGCGAACATCCTCCGCTCTATCACCTCGACCATCACGCCCACACAGTCCACGCAAGTTCAACTCCTCCCGTAGTCGTTGATCGGAAACGCAAGATGAAACTCTCCACCGCGGCCTGCACAGTCATACTGACTCTGGTGTTTTCGGCCATCTACTGCGCCGCCGGTGATATCATCTGTGAACACTGCTTCGGGCGGACTGCTCAGGAGGTTGAAAAGCCAGCGGATCAGAGCGCTTCGGGTCTTTGCGGGGCACCCATGAGAGGCAGCGGGAGAAATCCTGTGCCCTGCCCAATCATTCGTCAAAAGAAATTCTATCGATGCAGTGTAGCCAGGTGTGCCGGTCTGTCTTGCGGCAATTCACCTGAAGATGCTGATGAAGTAAACAGGTGTGCCCACTTCTTCAAATACCCTATTGTTGAGCAAGGAGCATCCTCAAGTGCTGCCAGATATCATCACTTCATGTAGTTCAAGATCTAGACAATGTCAATTAGTCTAGCAAAAGCATTTACTGGCCCAAATACACGCATGGAATTAAGAATCATATGTACATAGTGTTCATAGTCAACAATGAGAGTTGAAACATATGTAAAGTGATTATTTTTGAGACTTACTGTGTGCACTGCAAAAACTGCTTTGCACACTGTGGGAGCCATTATGGCAACATTACACCTCCAGTGCATGGGCTCTGTAAACTAAGATGCTTCACACAATGCCCATTTTCAGGGATCAAGGACTCACCAGTTCCAAGATTTTTTTCCTTGTAACTTGGAGACAGGGTTCTTGTTGGCCTCCCAAGAGTTAGAAAAAGGAAATTAAAAACTACAAAAAATAGGGGTTTGGTTAATCAACTCCCAAAATTTGGAGAGTTGTTGCCTGAACTTTGCAATTCAATCCTCCAAAACCTTTGACTGGTTTGGCAGTTAATGTAGGAGCGTAGACTGGGTAATCAGTATGGATTACGCCAAGTGTGGCCTGGAGGAGACAGATATGGTCTCCTCCAGCTAGAGATGGGCGCATCGAATCCGGATATCCGCGCGGATGCGGATATCCGCTCACGATTTCAGCGGAAACACACATCCGCATCCGCCAGCGGATACCCGCCAGCGTTGGCGGGTATCCGCGCGGATACCCGCGGATACCCGCCCTCTGAATGGGCGGCGAGGCTCTTCCAGGAGTGTTTTTTTTTAAAAAAAAGAAAGAAAAAAAAAAGAAAAAAAAAAAAAAAAAACCAGCCCCCTCGGCCTAAAGGGGCAGAGGCCACACCGTCGGGAGGAACCCCTCCCGACGAGCTGGTACACAGACCAGCTCGTCGGGAGGAACCCCTCCCGGCGAGCTGGTTTAAAAACCAGCTCGCTGGGAGCGGTTTCTCCCAGCGAGTTGGCCTGTGGACGCTCGCCGGGAGGAACCCCTCCCGGCAAGCTGGGAGCTGGCCTGTAGACGCTCGCTGGGAGGGGTTCCTCCCGACGAGTTGGTTTAAAACCAGCTCGCCGGGAGGAACCCCTCCCGACGAGCTGGTACACAGACCAGCTCGTCGGGAGGAACCCCTCCCGGCGAGCTGGTTTAAAAACCAGCTCGCTGGGAGCGGTTCCTCCCTGCGAGTTGGCCTGTGGACGCTCGCCGGGAGGAACCCCTCCCGACGAGCTGGTACACAACCAGCTCGCCGGGAGGAACCCTCCCGGCGAGCGTCTTTAGGGACCCTCGTGGGGAGAGTTGTTCCCCGTTGGAGCTTGAGCTGTGTAGCACCGAGTGGTGAAGGTGTTTCCTGCACCTATACCCTCCCTTCTTCATAATCGGCAGGCCTATACCGCGACATCTCTACCTCCAGCTGCTGAGCCGCAGCATAGCAGTTGAGGTGGTTCCTCAGCCATGAGAGTATAATCTGAGTGGCTGGGAGGAATCCTCCCAGCTGCTTCCGTGGGGGTCTTTTGTTTTGTCAACCCCCAAACCCTGGTTGGTCTTGGAGGATTGACTCCTAAACCGACTGGGGGATTCTTTTTTTATTTTTTTGGGGGAGTCAACTCCCAAACCAGTTGAAGGTTTTGGGGATTCGACTCCCAAATTTTGGGGATTCTGGGGCTTGGGAGTCTGCTCTCCATTTTTTGGGAGTCGTTTAACCAAGCCCCTAAAAATATTGAACCAACCCAAATAGTGGTCTGATAACATTAGTTTAAAATAATATGCATTGGTCTATAAGAGATGGTCCCTTTGAATCCGGATATCCGCGCAGATGTGGATATCCGGTTGCTTTTTCCGGGGAAAGCGGCATCCGCACCCACATCCGCATCCGCTGGCGGATATCCCCCCGCCTTAGCGGGTATCTGAGCGGATATCCTCAGATACCCGCCCTCTAAATGGCCGGCGAGGCACATCCTTGCCGGCTGGAAAGGTTGCCTTCCAGCCAGCAAGGCATGTACCTTGCTGGCTGGAAGGGTTTCCTTCCAGCCGACGAGGTACACGTACCTTGCCGGCTGGAAGGGTTTCATTGGTCTTGGGTATCCCAGGGGATACCCTGATGTCCGCCGGGATTTGGGGGGGGGGAAAGGACATCCGCATCCTCTGGCGGGTATCCGCCAGCGGATAGCGGATATCCGCAACAGATTATCCCTGCCCATCTCTACATTGGTTGCAAGTTCAAATCCTGAAGAAGTCATCACATTCATCAATTTTACTACCAATGAAGCTCCAAACTTTCCTTTCATTAAAATTCTTGCATCCATCCTGTCAGAGGTTTATGGTGGTGTTGCCTGTCCTCCATGCAACAAAAAATTACTTTTTCAAATTTTACCAGAAGCAGGGACATGCCCCCTTCAAGCTGAGTGTAGCATATACTTGGGTGGTGGGGCAAAATGCAAGTACATCCATCATAAGGCATATTTTCAGTGTATCAGGGCAAATGATTGTAGAGGACTGCATGTCCTAAACAGGAAACGAGATGCCCTTACTAGAGCAAAAGACTTTCAGTCATTGAAAAACATATGTAGTCAATCAAGATGCATTATTGGAACCTGAACCAGAAGCCCCAGAATCTGAAACAGGATCATCTTCAAGTAATACAAGAGATCAAAAATTTCACACATGGCTTTAAAGGGTTATAAGCAACAAGAACACAATCTATAGCTTCCTTCCACAACATTCCTTTTTTGATATTAACCGGTAGACTTGAAAAATTTCAAGCAACAAAAACATTTATCATAGCCAATTCAATATCAGTTTAGCAAACCAAATCTCTAGAGCATTTTGGCTTCCAAAAAAATTATTCAATTGTCTCAACTTTTTTTTTTTCTTGAAGATGCCATCAACATTTTTTAAATTATTCAAGTAGGTCACAAACTAATAGTCCATCCAGTCCACACTTTCACCTACCCTTCCATTCCACTCAAGCAGAATGGGATGACTTCAATGATCCTGTGGGCTATTTTTCATGATCATGGTAAAAAATATAATTAAGGATAAATTTACTTGTTCCAAATAGCATGATGGGACATCCTTGGATCCCTTTCTTTGAGCAAGCCTTTAAAAGAGGTGATTGTGACAAATGTATGACCCTGTTGGTTCTGACATTTTTGCAGGAGAAATTTGCCACTCTGAAAGACCACAGTTTACTCTTCAGCTCCACCTGCTCATGGACCATACTTCATGATGTGTTACTTTTTATATTTACAGACAATGGCTTTGAAGATATCTGAGTTTTTTTTTTTTTTAAAAAGTGCTACTGATTTCACATACCGCACTATTTATCTATTACAGCTATTTCGGAAAGGGTTGTCCACTTGGACTCACAATTTTTTTTTTTTTTTTTGAAATTTTTGAAATTTTTCTTTGTACTGAACTACAGCCGAGGAGGTACAGCTGTCATCAGTAGTTCAGTTCTGACAGGTCCAGTTCAGTAAAAAAATAAAAAAAATAAAAAATAAAAAAATAAAAAAGAATTCGCGAGTCCAAGTGGGCAACCCTTTCCGAAATAGCTGTATGAGTTATGGATATCAAAATCTTCTGAAAACTAAACAATAACACGTCATGTAACATAAATGGACGAGACTGGTGGCGTAGGAAGCTCTAACTGGCGTGATTATGAGAGATAGAGAGAAGGAAAGAAATATCTGAGTGTGAAGTGTGGAAAACTGGCCGGGGATCTGTTAGGTTCCGGGGGTTCTGACCGAAGCCCTCGGGGGACTCGAGAGCCTCGGCCGGTTTCCCCAGTGGGTCGACAACAACCGAATCATCCAGTCAGTCAACAACCAACACCCACCAAATCTCTCCGGAACAGAGCCCCCCACCATTGACACCCAGCCGAAAAGAAACCAGCCGAGACTCAAACATCAACCGATTTAACACATCTCTCTTGCTAGTTGATGTCTGCCGCTGCTGCTGCTAAGCCCAGTCTTGCCGGTGTCCGGAATAAACAACGGTCAGCCCACAGTATATAGTCTCTCATTTTGTCGCATTCAGCTTGAAACCGGAAGACTTACTTACACATTGTCCTTGTCGGTCCCTCCTTGCTCATTCCAGAAAAGGCGTCGCCAAAGCCGCTGCTAAATTCGAGCCCGAAGGTATGTATTCATTAATATCACTTTGCTTCCTAGTCCCTCACTCCAATGAACAAGTTTGCAAAAAAAAAAAAAAAACCTTGTCGATCGAGCTCATTGACCCCTGCTCGTGACAATCATAGAATTTCGTGATCAAATCCTTAAACATCTCTCGACTTTACCACCCAACGATCTTGATGCAGTAGCTGCCAAACTCGACACCCTCGGAAACCAATTAGATTATCGTAAATATGAAGGCCCCTTGTTTGAGGTCCTCCTCGTCGGTGGCATCCTTGCTCCCGGTGGAAGCTTTGTCGATGATGGTGCAGAAAGAAGCCCGTTTAGTATATTGACAAGCACTCAATACCCGATCGACCAAGCTGATATGAAGAAACATGTCGATGTCTTTAATAAGCTCATCAGAAGGTTCATCCATCCATCTACATCACTTTGCACTTCTTCATGATCATTGACGTCTCATTGGCTTGACTCGTTATAGATACAAGTACTTGCAAAAGATCTTCGAAGAGAACGCTCTTACCGGTTTACTTCAGTACATCAACAAGTTTGAAGGTCCTGACCTCGAGAAACTAGCCTACTCTCTGGCCCTGTTCATCTCTACCGGTTTGACGAGCTCGAACGTCCTTCTGACCTTGCAGAAGGAGCACTTAGTTAAAGATGGTAAACCTCATTATACTCACCGTAAACAAACATTTTTTTCCCCACTATATTGATTTGCTTTTGTTTCTTGATAATCCATAGGTGTATCTTTAAACTTCATCACCAAAGTTTTTACAGCCTATCTTCAGGTTGAATCAGCAGACCATCTCTCGGGAGCTCTTCGTCGAGGTGGAGTGGTAGACATGTACGGCTTCTTCCCGCCTCACAAACGGGAGCCATCCGACTTGGAGGCGCACTTCAAGGCAGCCAAGTTAGACCCGATCGTCGCGTATGCTCACAAGCAACGAAGCGGCCAAGTAAGAGATGAGACCTTAGTCAGGCTCAGAGAGATGGTTGCCTCGGAGGAACCCCAGAACGAGGTTTGACCGTCCCTTGAACCCTCATCAGATACCAATGGTCCTAACATATACTTCTTATTCAATCAGATCATCAGCTTCTTACAAGAACAATCCCAGAGCGGCTTGATTCCTGATGTCGACTTCATCGCCCTGGTATGGCACGGTCTCATGGACAGACTCGACATGGGCAGTCGGCCAGACCAGATTGTCGACATGGTCGTCAGAGCAGTCGTCGTAAGCATTTCTTTCATACAACAAGCCCAAGAGCCCTATCCTCATCAATTGGTTGTTCCCCGATGGCATACAGTCTGTGGCTCCCGTGTTGGCTGCGTTTTGCAAGAACGCACGAACTCAAATCTCGATGATCAACACTATTCAGGTTTGGGCTTACGAGTCAGTCACATTCCATCCCAGCCTTGATCGGGGTTGTTTTTTTTGCTTGCTAGGTCTGCTAACGAGAGAGTGCGTATGTCTATGTTTCCAGGAACACGAAGGTGATGGGAGCGTTTGCGAAGATCATCAAGGAGCTCTATGCGCACGACGCACTGAGTGAACAGGCGATCTTGTACTGGCACAGCAAGGGTAGCAAAGCCCAGGCCCGCCAACACTTCCTCAAGTCCACCGAGCCCCTGGTGAAGTTCTTGAAAGAACAAGACGAGGACGAGGATGATGAGGAGTAACGATGGACGGGATCTGTTGATGCGACTTGTATTACTCTTCTTCCATTTCGTCCAGTCTGTCTTATAACCCCAGGCCCCTGGAGAAAAGGAAAACTCTCTTTCTCTTCCTCTCGGTCGTCTTGAATCCTCTTCTCAGCTTTCACCCTTGTCCTTCACAATTCAGTCCATGGCTCGTCTGGAGACGTTCTTTTCTCTGCCCCTGTCGCAAGCTTGTCTGGACTGTCTATCTCTTGGAAGGCTCCTTCGATCTGATAGTTGTTGTGTTGTTTTTTTGGGGGAAAGGTCATGAGCTGAAGTTGTTGGTCCAGAAGAGTTTCTTCTCATCATGAATCTTCATGTCCTTGATCAGGAGGATGAGCAACTTCATGTAGTCTACTGTGAAAGCTTTTATCTTGGTCTGGTTGGGCAATCAACAAATGATTATCAAGAAACACCCAGACCATCCCTTTCTTTTTTTTTCTGCTACTCAAGATTTATTTGTGTAATGATTTTTCTTTGCACACAACATATAAGCCACTTGGGATTTTGATTTAGTATGCACTTCAGATGTTGAATTTCAAAAGTCATCATTTCATTTGGAGTCACTGACTTTTGTAGTATGTGGTGCAAATTGATCAAGTGACCTGAACTTGAAGGAATGGAGAATGTGGACCAGTATCTGATGATCACTAGAACCTCCCACTGCAAGAAAAAGTCTAGCAACTGTTAGCAGTTGACATGTGATATTATCATGGTTCTTGATTGACCTTTTTGGTGCTTGTTTTGCTCAAAAAATTGCTGGTTGATCATTGCTCAGATATTGGAAATTACTTGGATAAGCATATTTTTATGCTTTGCAGCAGGTCATACGGCTGCTGGTTTGGGATAAAAGGTTTTATGTCATATGAGAAATGCCAATCATGAAAACTACTATTACTACTTTCTTATGGTCCATCCCAATTGTCACTATGAGCAAAAAAAACCCCTGTAGCAGTAGCTTCTAGTAGCCTGCTACAAACAGCTGCCACATTGATTCTGGCTGACTGTGCAAGCTGCTGTAGTTATTGTATGGTGGGGCATGCTTGGGAAGATATCTAAGATTTCCCACACCATGGATCTATCACAACTGTTACATATACCACAGGTGCACTTCGGTGTCCTGGGGACATCTCACAAAAAGACTAGGGTTGGCCCGCCGCCCCTGTGAACCACCGTACCCGCTTGTATCTGGGTAGGTGGTGGTTTTTTGGGGTAGATCAGACATCCACACCCACACTGTTGGGGCAGGTACCCGGCAATACTCAGGCAATTACCCAATAAAATGCCTTGCCTGACGGCCAACCCTGGTTGCTGCTCAATGCTTGGGGGCAGTAAATAAACTGGAGAAGTTCCCACTGGATCTGCAGCCCTTGAAGAATCAAACTTACACACTCTAGATCTTAATTTATGGTGAACAGAAAGATGTTTTAATGTGCCTTATATGAATGCATGCCATGGGTGATAGAGATGGTCGATTGGCATCCGGATATCCGAGCGGATGCGGATATCCGGCTGCTTTTTCCGGCCATCTGAGCATCCGCATCCACATCCGCACCCGCTGGCGGGTATCCATTGGCCGCACCGAGTATCCGAGCGGGTATCCTCGGATACCCACCCTCTAAAGGGCCGGCTTTCCAGCCGGCAAGGTACAAGTACCTTGTCGACCGGAAGGGTGTCCTTCCAGTTGACGAGGTACTTGTACCTTGACGGCTGGAAGGAAGCCCTTCCGGTCGACGAGGTACAAGTACCTCGCCAGCTGGAAGGGGACCCTTCCAGCCAGCCATCTCCCCTTCCGGCCGCGGGTATCCTTTGAGATACCCGGATACCCGCCAACTTTTTGCGGTAAAGGGGCCATCCGCACCCGTTGGCGGGTATCCGTTGGCACTGGCGGGTATCCGCCAGCGGATAACGGGTATCCGCGACAGATACCCTTCGACCATCTCTAAGGGTGATGGTTGTGATTTTTATTGCTGTGTTGATTTAGGATCCAAGAAGGTATCACATGAACAGTGGAGGACTTTCTGTTGAAGTATGTGGGTACTGGAGAATCAATTTAGACCCTCAACAAAAGCTAGACTTCCCTGCAAAAATATAGAATTTCTGGGTCTATAAAGTCAACATCTACAAATGCTGAAGATTTCACATCAAGTCCTCCAGTATCAAGTGCAAAGAAAAAAGAATTAACAAAAGCTGAATTAAGGAACATCAAACAAAAATTCCACAGGATGAGAATGTGGAAAGCAAGATTTGAGCTCAAGAAAATGAACCAGACACTGCAAACACAAGCTGTAGAAGCAGCTTGATTTTTGTTAGCAGGTGAACAGAAAGACTTCAAATATTTATTGACTTTGGACAAATAATCATCATCCTTGGGCATGTGCCTTCCAAAAGGATTCATTTTTTTTTGTGAAAGACTACTCAATAGGGGAAATGCTCTTGAAAAAAGGACAAGTTCACATAGCTATTTGCTATTAATCAAAGTCAATTTGGAGTTTGAAATAGCAGGGTTCACAATAGCCTTTTGACTTCCCACATTACTTAAAAAATTTTCTTGCTTGTGCCTTGCTTAAATTATAAACCTGCAGGAATTCTGCCACTTCTTGTGGTGACCAAACAAGCTTTTTGTGAGAAGCTATTGTGAACCCTGCTAGTGAAAATCCAAAAACAAAAATGTTGTATGGCAAGCACTTGTAAGTCTTCCTGAATTGGTGACCATCATTGTTTGTCAGAGAACATGAAAAAATGAGGTGATAAAAAAGCTCATTTATGGATTATTTCAAAAGTTGGTGTCAATGTTTTTCCATTAGGTTCAATGCCAAGTTGGATATTTGCAAAATTGATGGCCGCTGAGACTAGGTGGTTCAGTGGGAATTACGAAATGGAACAGCATGCTTGTTAAGCTTGAAATTTGCCACATCTCTGAACTTTACAAACATTCGAAAATTGTTGACTCGTGGCTGAAGAAAGTGGCTGCAGCAGAGAGTCAGATGTTGGGCCGCTCCCGATAGAAGCATACGTACCTGGCCGCAGTTTTCTGGGCATGAAAATGCTTAAACTGAGATGGTGGAGTGAGCCTCCAAATCTGCCTTAATGGCTTTTGAGCCGATCACCAGTACATAGCTTGCGGACCGAAAAATGATAACACGTGTCGTCCAACGTCTTCAACGAGCCCTGGGTATCGGCAAGGAACGGTTCTACGTTGGTAAGCCCTTAATTCTTGTCGACGATAACAGTTTCTCACCGCCTTCAGATTATCAGCTCTGACGATTACTTTTGTCACCCGTTTCGCAGGAAATGACTTGGCTGGAAATAGGTATGTGTACATCTGTCGTCCAAACTCGTTCCAAAAATATCGCTCGCTGACGATCAAGAGGTTTGGTCCGGATGTGCAGTTACTATGAGAAGCATCTTCCGGTCGGTGGCTTTTTCTAACATCTTTCAGCGCTTCTAAAGCACGTTCGGCTTGAGTTGATTCAATAGACCCGATCACCATCTCCTTGGCGGCTCTCCATATGTAGAATGGAACAGGTAGATATCTGCGTTTGTATTTTTTATGAGATTCTGATATTAACGATCATAAGTCACCACCCCGCACAGAGCCGCGTCCGAGACGATTTGTAAATTTCAAGTCAAATGAGAATGATCCTACAATGTGCGGTGTCAATAAAAACATATACATCGTATCTTAGTCGGGCTGAGGTAGTCTTTCTCCAGGTACCGTACTCATCATCTCCCACCACAATGGTCAGCCTGGTTATCATTCACCAGAAAACAACCACCAACGATTGATGTAGGCATCGAGACATTGATCTGGTCTGCACTTCCGGATACCAGACAGTCAATCAATTGGCTAATTCTGCGCTTCATTTTATACAGGAACTCGAAGCCGATCAGCTGCGATTATCTCAACTCCGGGAAAACGTACGGAAGTTAGAGATACAGGATCAAGCCCGAAAGCAAGCCCAACAGTTAGGCCAGGAGAACGCTTCTTCTGGCCTTGATAATGCTTCATTACCAGATCTCCGTACGTCCCCTTTCCCATTGATATCAACATCCCCCACAATCTCCGACGAGGTAGAACTTGTTTTTGTTGACTCGCTTCGGCCGTTTATCAGGAGAATCTATCAATCCTGTTGACGATCATGCAGAGTTGAATAGGAAGCGAAGGAAAATGAACGAAAGCCCTCTGGCTGCATTCACCCTTCAACCGCAAACCAACCCCGATCAAACTTGGCAGCCACAGTCATGGAACCCTCAACAGACTGCCCGCAAGTAATTCCAACCAGTCCCCGCATCAACACTTGTCAAACCCTCTCACATTTTCATTAAGAGCTACTTTTGTCGGCGTTTATTGTTGCTTTGTGTATACGTATATATTATACATGTTTGAGCTCGTTCAGTCACGTCTGTAGCTGAGATTCAATTGGTGAAGGAATAATTTCTTTACCCTCATACGCTGTCCATCATTTCAAGAGAAGCAAAAAATGGTGTATTGCTACTAACAGCTTAACTGAAATTCTGCTGATCAAGGTAATGATCTATTGTTCAAGTTGTAGGTCAGCTATCTGTTTGGAGAAAGTCTCTGGGGACTGTAGTGTGTCCTTCCCTGGCCAGTTTATGAATACAAAACTCAGCAGTTGCTCATGGAATGTTGCATTCATTCATTCATTTTTTTTCTTTTTTTCACATTACCCAAGCCATCTACTACCCAGATGATTTCAAGTGCCTTCCAATCATTTTGTCTCTTGTATTGAATCCTATAAACCTATGACAGGTGAATTAATTGGGAGTAGATCTATTGTTTGTCCAAAAAACAGCATTTAGATCAGCACCCTGATTTAATTTGTTTGATTTCCATGCAAGTGATTTACAACATTAGCAAATGGTTTAGATAAAAAATGATGCACAGTTGGTCTCCCTCTAATAGATTTCTTTTTGCGGTGTTTCCATTTGACATTCATAATCATGGGGTAGGATAATAGGATGAGAAATATCTTCTTGGAAAAGATCAATGACACTTGAAAAAAAAAACCACAAGCTTAATGATGCTGGTGTTCATGAGTTTTGCTTAATCATGCAGTCAGAAGTTAGAACAGTGTTTGCCGCAAAAGTCCTACATACTGACGAGCGACGCGCACAGGGAAGCTTCCTGCGCAGCTGGCGCCACCCCCTCCGCCCCCCTCCAAGCCCTTCCTCGGCCTCTTTGACTCAGAGTCACGCCCGATTCCTCAACATCGTGATTCACGTCCTTTCGCTCACTCGGAACCAATTGCATCGTTTGTTTTCCCTTTCTCTACATCTGTTGAAGCTGGCTGACCATCTCCCTGGGCTGGACGGCTCGATGTGACCCGTTTCTCACCTTGGCACTGACATGTTTTGAGGGTTTGTTTTGTTTTGGATCCCAGAAATCAGGAACACTACTCAATACCTGACAAAACCACTCACCCCGTCGATAAGGCCTTCCAGCTTTTCCGGCGTCTCAAATGAAGTCTCAGGAGGCGCTCAATGCGTTTGTTTCAGGGCCGATCAAGAAATCCAAGTTTGTTAAAGAGAAGGAGGCAGCTGAAGCCAAGAAGCGCGAGGAAGAGGAATTAGCTTCCAAGGCTTACGAGGACTTTGTAGCGGCATTCGATGGGAACGATCGAGGCGGCGGACGAGGTCGTGGCGTTGGGTCCTCAAACTCCCATGGAAGATCAACCCAAGGCCCAGCATTTGTCAAACCTGGTGGGGCGCCCAGAACAGTCGTCAAGCTGGATTCACCGGTCGAAGAGGAATCCCCATCTCCTTTGAGAGCCTCGCTTGCCCCCCACGCTTCGGCCTCTGCTTCAGCTCCTACTCCTGCATACAACAACAATCTACCCTCTAATCCCACCGTTCCTACTACGTCGAAGAAATTGAAAGCAGGTGAAAGCTTCTTGGAAGAATTGAAAAGGTGCGTTTGGTCGTCGTTTGATTCCAGTGCGGTGACGCATCTTCTGGTCAGCATGACTGAAATCTGAGTCGATTGTCTGTAGGAAAGATGCCGAACGTGAAGGTCGATTGGCAGCGAAAGCAAGCAAGGACCCCCGAGGGATGAGTATAACTGCCTTGGCTGGTTGGTTATTATTTTCCAAGTACTTAAGCAACTCCCGAGTACATTGACCAAGTTAATTATGCTGCCGTCCATGTGTCTAGCCTTAGAGACTGCCCCCCATCTATCCGGGGGTTCCAGGGATACCGGCGACCCACTGACAACTAATGTACACGTTGGCAATCTACCCGGCACGATATGTGAACAATCCTTAGGAGCCTTTTGCGTCAAATGGGGTCCAATCGCCTCACTCAAAGTCGGCTCATCTCTTCGCTGATGCCAAAAAGAGGCACATAAAAATACTCATGAGACCCATACTCACTCGTTTCCTCATCAATCTTCTTTTTGGGAAATCCTTCACACTCATCAGATTATGTGGCCTAGAAGCGGAAGCGACAATATTGGTGGGGCTGGATATGGAATGGTTGCCATGAGACAAAACAAGTCTGGTGGTTTGAACGGTTTTATCTCTTACATGCGGTAACTCAATTCTCAGGGTCTTCACTATGAATCAGAAGCGAAACGGGAGCGCTGAGCTTCTTGGTCTCCAATCACTTCTCTAGCCGATCTGATGCGGAACGGGCGTGTAGGGAGCTTGATGGGTTTGATTGGGGAGGTCATATACTTCGCACAGGTTGGGGCAAGGCTATGCCTATGCCCCCAGGGCACAAACCCCAATTTGGTATGTAGGATTTCCTCCTCCGATCAGTTTATAATTATTTGAGGATTCAATTCAACGTTTCAAACTCTTTGTAGAGCTACCAAGAGAAGCTCGAACAAATTCCCGTTCACCTTCACCCAGAAGACGTCGATATGGGCGCTCCCCGGGGTACAGAAAAAGAAGATCGCGCAGCTTGTCTGGCGATTCTCGCGATTATTGTCGGTCTAGATCTCGCTCCCGATCCCGATCTCGGTCTCGCTCGAGATACAGTGGGGACCGAGGACGTTCGACAAAACGAATTAGGTCGAGGTATAGTTCCGCTTCTAGATCCCGCTCGAGGTCGCGTTCATACGATCGCTCGAGGGCATCTTCTAGGAGCTATTCCTCAGATTACTCTAGATCTAGATCTCCTTCTCGAGACCGTCGCGATTGGCCTAAACTCCAAGAGGATGAAGAAAAGTTCATCCGTACAGTTGCCAAGAAAGTCCTCGAGCACGGCGAACGGTTCGAGAGAACTTTGAGAGAAAGGGAAAGATCAAATCCGAAGTTCAAATTTCTCATTGAAGCTGATGTAAGTTGCAGCCATTGGCATCGGGATTAGCCTTTCAAAAACATCAGATGCTTACCTTTCCACTTTCTTGCCCTTGACCTCGTAGACGGCGGCTTATCACTTCTTTCGAATGCTGGTTGACCGGCATTATCGCCCACCTTCCCCACCCCCACCCCCATTTGCTGACGACGTAAGATCGGGATTATTGTTACTACTCCAGTCATTGATCGCTGACATCGAAAGCAATTAGGGATACGCTTCAATTTACTCTACTGACTCTGCCGAAGAGTCTGAAAACGAACGACTTCCAAAGGGTAAATTGGGCAAATATGGCCGTCGAAGGTTCCAAGCTATGCTGAGAAGCTTGACTCCTCAAAGAGAAAAAATCGCCAGATGTATGGCTTTTGCTTTGCATCATGCGGATGCCGCTGAAGAGGTACACATTTGTTTATCCAAGAAGTAGATAATGATGATATAATCTAATTTTTCGGATTGTTTTTTCTCAATCAACCAAATCCAGGTCGCCGAAATTTTAGTTCAATCATTGACTATCGATATGACTCCAGTACCAAGAAAGCTTGCTCGACTTTATGTGATCTCAGACATCTTACACAATAGTTCAAATTCGTTACCTAACGCATGGAAGTATCGACAAATCTTAGAAAAGCTTTTACCCGACGTATTTGATCATCTCAACCTGATCTATCGATCGTTTCCGGGGCGGATCAAAGCCGAGACGTTCAAAAAACAGATCTGTTTGATTGTCAATGTGTGGAATTCGTTCATGGTCTTTGGGCAAAATTCGATTGATGATTTTAATGAAAGATTGGTCAAGCTTGATGTGGAAGATGAACAGGTCCAACAGGCCATTGATGGGGAGGATGTTGGGATCCCTCTGGATGACGGCGAGGATCTCGATGGAGTGGCGGCGGATGAAAGTTTCCTGTGGGCTGCTGAAGAACCTCAAGCGGAGGGTAAGTTGTCCCCTGCTTAGCCATTTCCTCAGCTTACAGTATTGATATCTGATACCTGTGATTTTTTGGGGAGTAGATGGCCAACAAGCCCCTGCGCAACTAGATCAACCTAAACCCACCCGCTCCTCAGGATTTGCTAAGGCCTTCAAACCAGCAGTCATGGAGCCCAGTCAACCTTCTGGTGATCAGCCATCCAAATCCAGCGTCAAATTGGCAGGTGCCATCAAACTTGCCTGAGCAGTTTTCTTTCTCATATCCAAGCTGCTTAACCTCTACATATCATCTTTCCATCAATCCAGAAAATGGTAACTTGTAAATTTCAGTTCAGGTTGCTATCATCTTCTCAATGTGTCTTTTTTTTTTCTCTCCCATTTGTTGTTTGACATGTTGGAGTAATGGTAGCAAGCACCAACCATTATATTTAGGGAGTCAGTCAAACAACAGGGTTGTTGAAATTTGCAAAGTATTTTTTGAGGAGCTGTGTTGTAATACTTTCCTTTGCAAAATTGGACAGCACCACATTTATGTTGAAATTTGCAAAGTATTACTTCAATCCATCCTTGGTAAGATCAAATCTGGCTATAAGACTAGGCCTTAGGGAAAATTGCAATGGCCAGCCCTCATTGGATTATCACTGAAAAACCCACCCATTGCAAAACTACAGCAGTTCCCAGAAAGCTTGCGTTTGCAAGCTCCTGGGACCTAATTTTTTTCATTTTTTTTTCACTTTTTTGTGCCTTGCAACCTGTACACATGACTGTACAGGTTGCAAATCTGCTGTCAAGGCCCTACTAGGCCTCCGGGCACCTGTCCAGTTGCCTGGTGGGAGCTAGGGTGTGGCCAATGTGATGATTGCTTCTGACTCAAAAAAATGAGAGGAATCCAATGGTCCAACTCCCGTATCTTCAACTTGAAAAATGGGGGAGTTGGGCCACAATGCCTGCAATATTGTGGCTGCACAAGGCCACGTACAGGACAAAAAAGCAAAGAAAAAGAGTGGCACAAATAAATAATAAATTGGGATCCCAGGAGCTCACAACATCATGCTTTCTGGGAACTGCTGTACAAAACGTATATTGTTTTTTCTCAAAAAGCTTGGGCTGTTGGCCTTTTTTTCTTAAAAAAAAACACAAAAATTATACATTGGCCGGTGGACTTTCTGAACTTCCATGCAGAATATCCAGGATTTTGTGCTCTTCCAAAGAAAAGCCATCTTGTCCAAACATCATTCAGTCATCACATGGTCTCATTTTCCATACAGAAATCTATGATAATTAAGGTGTACAATCACATGCAACACAACCTGGGTGTTCTGAAGAGGACAAACAGTAGCACCAGATCAAGGTGAGGCAGGTGTAACATGAATTTGTTTGGCCCAGAGTTGACAGCAGAGTAGGGATGGCCCTGCCACATCCGGATACCCCCGCAGACGCAGATATCCAACCGCTTTTTCAGTGGAATCAGGCATCCGGATCCACATCCACATCCACTGGCAGGTATCTGCCGGCCACTGCAGGTATCCACGGATACCCGCCCTTTTACTGGTTGACAATCTCCGGATGGAAGGATAACCTTCCACTGCCAGCAGAGTGGGTTTTTTTTCAAAAAAAAGAAAAGAAAAAAAAAACCCCGGCCCCCCTTGGCCTAGAGAGGCAGAGGCCACACCGTTGGGAGGAACCCAGCTCAGCAAGAGGGGTTCCTCCAGGCGAGCTGGTTTTTAAACCAGCTTGTTGGAAGGACTCCCTTCTGACAAGCTGGTCTGTGTACCAGCTTGTTGGGAGGAACCCCTCCCAACCCAGCTCATTGGGAGGAATCCCTCCTGGCAAGCTGGTACACAATCCAGCTCTCCGGGAGGGATTCCTCCTGACGAGCTGGGATAAATACCAGTGCTTTCAACCCAACTCTTTGGGGATTTTTTTGAAAAAATTAAATCAATCCAGTTTCTCATCCACCCTACCAGAACCCACTGGCGGAAACCTCATCATCAGTAGTTCCCAATGAACAGGATGGCTTGGTTCACAATACTAGTTGGAGAGCCAAACTTGTTCCAAATTCCAAGCAAGCTAAAAGTTGGTCCACCGTTGTAGAGGATGCTTCAACTAGCTTTTTGCCCAATCTGATTGTAGCACCCTTCCATCAATATAGTCTTTGAGCCAAATTGCTTGATGTTGTACCTCAAAAGGCAATCATCTCCAGTAACCAAAGTCTTTATTGGACGATGGCTGAACCTCTGCTGTAAACCAATTGCATTGAAGCATTTGAACAGTCAATTTCATATGCCACTCTATCGCATAGGAGCTTTGAGAGATTAGATATTCTTGGGGACAAGCACATCAAGCTGTGCTGATCTTACAACAGAGCAGGTTTGTTGGTTGAACAGATCAGGACAAAGTGGTGAAGAATGGGGTTATGAAAGAATACATGCCTAGTATTGTAAATGGAACCATTTTGCCAGTAAGGACTCCATGAGCAAGTTGCATATTGATACTGACATGCAACATCAATACAAACTAGTCTTCTGGCAATGGCTTTACTACAAGACTTTTGGACCCGCACAAAATCTCCCAGCCTTTGGAAGAATCAACCCAGAGCAAGCACGACATTACAATCCAGAGAATCCGTTTGGGACGGTACAGAACCACAAGCTGGTATGTACACCAGCTTGCCGGGAGGAGTCCCTTCTGGTGAGCTGGATTGTGTACCAGCTTGCCGGGAGGGATTCCTCCTGGCAATGTGGCCTCTGCTTCTTTAGGCTTTTTTTTTTTTTTTTTTTTTTTGTAAAAAGATTCCACTTTGTTTCAGTCTCTTGGCACTGGGTATCCCTTGGGATACCCGGATATCCTCCAGGATTTCAGGGGGAAGAGGACATCCGCTCCCAAATCCAAATCCGCTGGTGGGTATCCGTTGGCACTGGCAGGTATCCACCAGCAGATAACGGATATCCACAACAGATATCCAGAGACCATCTCTACAGCAGATTGAAGCATGTGTTTGTTGCTGCATCTGAGCCCCCATCCCCCAATAAAAACCTACCATCCTTCAGTGGTGCTCCATAATCCTTAAGAGCATCCGCATTGGTGTGCGGATTAAGGATCAAGTTAAACCTGGATTAACACTAATCCAGGCCTTTAAACACATTGGTTGGCACTAGACAAATGGACTCAGCCCTAATCCTTGCACTATTCCCGTCAACCTCATTGGTAATCATCAGCTCAAACAACTATGTCGGACGAGCACGTACCATTTCCAGAATCCGACTTTATCGCAAGACAGAACATCAATTGGAGCCGCCTTTTAACCCAGAATCTCCTGGAGGACGACTTTGAAATCACAGCTTTTCTGGATTCTAGCGGCAATTCTGAGCCAGAAATCCTGCCACAATCGAAGAAGCGGAGGCCTAACAAGGAGCAAAGTCATGTGGAAAATCATCAGAGGCTCATGGCTGATTATTTTAATGAAGAATCAACATATGATTCTTGAGATTTTACTCGACAATTCCGGATGGAAAGACCCCTTTTCCTTTGTATCCTCAACAATCTCACCGCAAACTACCCATACTTTTTCCAAAAACCAGTAATCCCATCTTCAAGATCAAAATTAATATGTGGAAATACTGACTTATCATATTTTTTTGTGACAGGTGTTGAAATCTAATCATGACGGCACGCATACATTTTGTGATGTCATAGTAGTGTGATCTTACACAGCTATTTATTTTTATATTTTTCTTTGTTGACCGTTGTTTTCAATCTTTTTCTCAATAATCTGTCTATCATTCTGTTGACCGCTGATCCAAGAATACTTCCGATCTACTTCTTCGACTTTGACTTATACTTTAACTCATTTGACTTTTACTTGAACTTAACAACTTCAACCTATCAATTCAGCTTATTGTTAACTATCTAATTTTTCTTTTAATCTTTTCTTCATCTTCATCTCTTGTGGTTTCCAACTTTGCCAAGGACTTGTTCATCTAGGTTGACTTTTGGAGGTTCTTATTCTTTTCTCTTCTATGTTCTTATAACTGCGTATATGATTCTAATTGTCTTTTATCCTCTTCAAGTCTTTCCAACCTAGTCATCGACAGTTTTCATTTTTCTTCTCTACATTCTATCATCCACAACTTGTTTCCTGTTTTATCTAGGTTATATTTATTTCTTATCTTCTCTTATTTTTGTATCTTTCTTTTATTATTCTTTTACTGAAATTGATGTTTTATCTAGCCAAAATTTTTCAACAGGACTGTACCGGTAAACTAGGCTTGAGTCCTCACCAGAAGATTACTGCAGCCATCCGACAGCTAGCCGTTGCTGTTCCCCTCGACACAACCAATGATTACTGTTGTCTTGGAGAGACAACAGCACGCCAGAATCTAGAGCAGTTTTGCAAGTCAATCAAAGCGATTTATGGGCCAACGTATTTACGACTCCCAAATTGTGACGACCTGAAACAAATCCTTGAAGAGAATGCCAGTCGAGGCTTTCCAGGCTGCATTGGCAGCTTGGATTGCATGCACTGGGCATGGAAGAATTGTCTGACTGCCCTGGCTGGGCAGTTTGAAGGAAAAGAAAAAACTCCAACACTGGTCCTCAAGGCAACAGCAACAAAAGATACCTGGATTTGGCATACATTTTTTGGGACGTTGGGATGTCTGAACAACAAGAACGTGTTTGACCGATCACCTCTTTTCTATCCAATCATCTCAGGAACCAGCTGGGGTGTATAGTTCGAGGTAGAAGGCAATCATTATAAATACCCCTATTATCTCGTCAACGGGATCTACTATCCGTGGTCAACTCTTATCCAATCTAAATGCTTGGCTGCATCTGATGATAAGCCAACTAAATATTTTATCAAGCGGCAGGAAGGATTCCAAAAGGATATTGAGCGCACATTTGGAATCTTACAAGGCCAGTTTCAAATCATCACAAAACCGGCCATGAATTGGTACCCAGGCAACATGCGATCGATCATGATGACATGTATTATCCTACACAATATGATAGTTGAATACCGTACCAATTGCAAGAAGCAAGCTCCTCTTCTTCCTCTCACCCCGGCCACAAAACACATTCCTACTTAATTGGAGCCATACAGCCTCAGAGAACAACGGATCCGAGATGTTGAGATGCAATCAGCTCAAGTTCATCAGAACTTGACAAACGATTTGATAACTTTCTTGTGGCACAAGAGCGGAAACGAAGATTCAATTTTTTACAGCGATGATTCTGCTGATTCTCTAACCGATTAACTTTTTTCTTGCTTGACATCCATCATGAATTTTTCTTACCTTTTTTGCTCCAAGCCTGTTGTCTCTGAGGTCTCTCGCATTCCTCCTTTTTCAAGCATTTCTATTATTTTTTGCTTTCTATCTTTCTTTCTACATGCAACAACTCAAATATGATGATGAAATAAGCTCATTTGCATGTCATAATAAAAAAAAACTGATCAAAAAATCATTGTTTGCAGTTAAGCAATCACTTTTGGTTAAGTGAAAAAAAAATCAATTGCAGTTAAGCAATTTAAATAATAAAGAACAACAATCTGATAAAAAAATCAATCACTTGTAGTTAAGTGATTGTTTTTGGTTAATCAAGCAGTAAGAGATTGCAAAATAGATGAATGAAAAAAAGGTTGATGAAAAGAAATTAAGATAAGGTAGGATCGACAGTGGCATCTAAAGCATCAAGGGACTGAGTTTGAAGGGGATCATATTCATCATAATCATCAGCCTTGTAATCAGGAATGTCTTCATCCTCCTGGTCTGGTTTGCTAGTCCCAAACTGTGTTGAACAATCCGTTGGCACATGAGAGGATTGATCTGCCGGACATTCGGATGATAGAGAATGTGAATTGACAGAGGGATCCATCCACTTCTGATATATTTTTTTTCTTTTTGAGCTAGTAGGAATTGACAAGAGATGTCATTGGGGCAGTTGGCTGGGCTTTGGAACATGAGGTTCACATCAATCTTCTTTTGTTCACCAGCAACGAGCTCCGCTTGAATGTTGTTTGATCTTTTGGCTTCAGCAGATTGCTTGACCTACTCCTTATGAGTTGCCTCCATGAGCTTGATTTTTTCTTTTATATTCTTCCTTGTTCACGTGTTGCTTGGCCGCATGAGCACCTGTCGGCCTCTCCCAGTCCTTGGACCTTGAACTGGCATTGCTCGCTGCATCAGTGGCATTGGGAGGTGATGGAGTTCCTGGGACTTGAGGAGTTTGACTTTGAGTCAATGGTGGAGCACCATTTTTTGCTTGGCCAGCCAAAGATTTGAACTTTTCAACGTGCTGGAGAAGGTTCCACGCTTGATCAAACATAAAATGCTTTCCGGCTTGTTCTTAGTAAATCTGTTTGGCACTAGTGAGCCAATCTTCAGGGGATGAACCCAAGGGTGGATTCTGCTGAATCCAATTGTGTATGACTGTGAACTTGAGGCTGCCATTCTGCAACAATTTCCATCTAAATTTTGGGGTATAAGAGCAATGAATGAGTTAGTGAGTCAATATCCAAGAGGAACAAATAAATAGTACATACCTTGCGGATAAACGGTCATCATCTCGCTGAGGGCCACCGGTGAATTTATTGTAATCCTCAGCGACTTGAGACCAGAGAACCTCTTTTGTTTGGTCGTTTGACCGGATTGGATCAGTTGTGACAACAGTCCAACTCTTGGCCAGCTGTTTGTCCTCTTCTGGGGAGAGGTTTGGCAGGCGTTTCTTGTGGGTGTTTGGATCCGACGTAGGTTCGGCGGTGTGAGAACTCCTTTGGGATGGATGGCAGTCCTGTGAGGGGGAAATAACAAATATGATTTTGGACTTTGTTTGATATATATTGTTACAGGTGGTTTGAAAGACCTGCCCCTCTAATGTACTACACAAGAATTCTGACAACAAATTTATTTAATTGTTGTGGCAAAACCTATGATAGAGAAAAACTTTATGTAGTAGTCTATATCAGACCTAGATCAACTGATATGGAGGACATGCAATAACACAAGCTACTCAAAGAACCTGATTAAGATCACAGGTTTTGGTGAAGGGGGGGGAGGGTGATGAACACCAGCTGGCCAGGCTGTGTGATGGGGGGGGGGGGGATCAAACTTGGGGGATGACGGTGTAAGACTCAAAAGTGGTTGTGAAAACCCTTTTGCTGAATGGAGAAGGGGATGATGGAGTTGCAAGCTCTGCCCTTCTATGCTATCAGAACAACAAGACCACCAAGCTTAGCTTGGCAGTTATATTTATCGTGATAGAGGATAGTTCAAGATGAAGCTTCCGAGTGATGTGTATAAGGGTCTGAAGTTGTTAATGAGTGATGATTATATTGATGGATTTGTTGTTCAAAGCTTTAATACCAAGGTTTGGAGCTCTGGGAGCGCTATGCTTCAACCAGTAATGGTATGTGAGCCAGGTTATGGGCACTTGGCACTTGTTATGATGATGAAACTGTTATGGTTGTATTTCAATATAATGTAGTGTTATGGCTGTCACTTGTATATAATCTGTAAGGGTGGTTGAGATGATCTGGTCCACTGGTGGGATGATGGAGGGAACAACTGGCAGGCAGAGGCCTCCTTATATAGACAAATGTGAGGGATTTTAGCCCCAGGGTACAGGCTTTTCAGGCATTTTAGCTGGCCTGAAGATCCAATGAGGGATTTTAGCTAGTCTAGTACATGCAGGTGAGGGAATTTGGCTGGTGAGAGCACTGCCTTGAGGGAATTTGGCTAGCCTACAAGGTCCTACTACAAAGGAATGCATGTGCACCTACAAAGGAATTCAATATGCACTATGTGCCAATAAAGGAATTCAATACAACACAAAGGAATTCAATATTCAATATGCATCCAGTATTCAAAACAAGTCATACTGAGAGTAAAGAATCCAAAAGATATCCCGTGACAGGTTGAAATCTGTGTAACTTCTAAACTATGAGAGATATGGGGTCAGTTGTAGTGGGTGACTAGGGTTAATTTTACCTGAGAAATCCATTTCTGATGTTATTTTTACCATATCTATAATATATAAAGAGATAATAATAAATTTTTATATTTTTCTGCGTAGAAACACAGTATTATTTACCACAACGGGCCTCCTTATATAGTAAATTGTGAGGGATTTTGGCTAGTGGGGAAGTCCTATGAGTGATTTATGCTGGTGTGACTTCTCCTTTGAGGGATATTTGCTGCTTGGAAACTTCTATTGAGGGGTTTTTGCTGCATGGAAACTTCTATTGAGCCATTTTTGCTAGTGTGGTGTGAAAATACGTGTGATCCAAGCGTGTGGCTGGTGATGTCGTGTGAAAATACGTGTGATCCAAGCATGTGATCGTGCATGTGACTAAACATGTGATCATACATATGCCTGTACAAACAAAGATTGCAACTATGCACTTATATATAAATCTATACTATGTACTACCCTGGAAAACTATACTATGCCGTAATAACAAAACTGATTTATCCAAATAACTTTTGACTGAGTGGAGCTAGCCTAGAGGTTCCAGTGAGTGACTATGGGTTAAATGACCTGTAGAATCTATTTAAGTAATAATAACACCAGGAATCTAGCCTATTATCAAGAGTGGATCATGACTTTATGCAATTTGGTACTTGAAACACATTTGGCACACTACAGCGGGGTTGGTTGGGTCCAAGCTCAAGTTTGTATTGGTTGGTTGAGTAGCTTGGTTGGTTGCTTGGGAAGCTGTGTTGGTCTGTTGAGTTTCTTGTCAGGAAGCATTATTGCTTCTTTGGTTGTTTGATTGTCTGGGCGGCATACTTGTGGAGTTGTGGAGAGGTGATGTTGGAGGTGTTGTTGAATTGGCAAGTGTTAATCTTGCCAAGTCCAAGGCTAGCTGAAGGGTGCCTGATCCTGGGAATAGTGGGGTATAAGTTTGATACCCGCTAGCTCCAAACATGATCCTGGAGCTTGTTTAGTCCGATCTAATCCCACCTGGTGCAGTTGGAGGGATTAGATTGGCTGGCTAATCCTGCCTAATCCGCGCACCAATGCGGATGCTCTAAGCAATCATATTCTGGTTACCACCACCCCAACTGCCATTGGAATTAGCATTCCCTGACATTCCAAGTGTTGTTTATCCAAAAACAGCTCCCTTTGTTCTTGTTTGATCTCTTTTGATAGATATGCCTGTCTAAAACTACAATTGTGTCCTTAACATCCCAGACTCTAGTATGGCAAGCATGGTCATATCCAGTGATTCCCCAGATTACAGCTTTTTGACCACCCATAAAGATTGCCTCCAACCCTCTGTTGAGGGGCACAGGGACCAAAATACTGCAATGAAGTCAAGGCTCATGCTGAGGGTCTTTGAGAAATATAGTTGATATTTGATGAGGAGATGAACTGTAGAGACAGACAAAATGAAGATGTGTCTGGTGAGAGTCAAACTCACAACCTCAGCTAGGCTGAGACACATACTAGAGTGCTGCCTTTACCAACTAGGCTACAGACGCTTGTGACTGCCAGGGTAGTTGGGCGGTAGTCCTCATGGTTTGACATGTAGTGATACATCATGGTAGCAGACTATCAGACACCTCAACATGAACTAAGTGAGGCTGGCATATAAGTAGTAGTGGGATGCTTGGTATAAGCATATCTAGTTATAAGCATACAAATACTACAATACATGATTTTTCATCTTAAAATCCCCCCTTGAACAAGCTATAACAGCACAGATTATCAAAATAGAATTTAATAAATATAGGAAACTGTACCAGTGTATGGTAGAATGACCACAAGTAGGCTGAGATAGCATCTAGCATACAAAGAAAAATTAAAGTGTGACAGCAAGCAGCTCCAGTTACTCATAGATGACACCAATTTCATCATTGTCATCAAAAGATCCAGATTCATACCCGCCTAGCTTAACTGTAGTTGCGGCACCAGCTTTGGTTTTGGTATTGTTCTTCTTCCTGCACTCTGAGGAATGGTGGCCGCGTTTGCTGCAGTTAGAGCATGAAAAATGCTTTGCTGAAGAGGCCGAGACAAGGTTGGTATGGTTTGTTCCATTTGGGCTGACTTTGTGAGCTCCTAAAGCTCTGATGGTGTTGTCCAACAACATCTCTTTTGGGGTATACACAATTGAATCCCTTACTGCTGACCAGGAGGGGTCTAATCCACCAACAAAACAATCAGCAATTTGATGGTTGGTTGGGAGTTCATCAATGGAGAGAAAATGATTGGCTGCTACTCTGAGAAATCCAATCCATAGAGCAATTGGTTTGTAATTGGGGTTGTGACAAACGGTCCAGAAGGCTTCCTGCAAACAAATACGTCAAGCCCTTGTATTCTTCTCATAAGTGTTGACTATAGTAGTGAAGAGTCAAGAGGCAGGCTTGACTTTGCAGTACCGTTGTGCCAATGGGTCGGTCAGAGTGAGTCGTATAGTTGAGCATGCTGTCAGCCTCTGGGTAACTAACTTGAGTATTTAATAGTAAAAAGGTTGTTACTATGAGTTGACTGAAGTTTTTGAGCGTGGTGAGTGTTAGGTAGTGGGTGATTAATACCAGTCCTGTAAAGAGGAGGTTTCACTCTATCAGTATGGTCTTTACTGAGAGGCTTGCTATCAACAGCGCATCCGGATCAATACAAGGTATTAATAGGCATCCAGGGTACTAAGACTCACCTGGGATTGATTTGGTTATTCCCAAAAGGGAATGGGCTAACAATACTTATTAAGCTTTAACAAAATTAGTTGAAGATTAACAGGTATTGTTGATGGGAATATTCAGCAAGGCTATGAATACTGTGGATAAGTTGAGTAAGAGTACTGAAGCTTAAGAACAATAAATGTAGACAAGATTTATGTTGGTTACGTGTACTGTATCAATATAAATGTTAACTGGTTTAACTGGTGTCTGAATATTCTGGGGATTAATCAGTGGAAGAGGCACGGATTATAAGTTCCAGAATACTGAAGGGGGGAAAGAATGAGCGCTCAGAATCAAGGGAGCTTTGGCCAGGAGAATGAGTACATCAATTGAGTGACTGATCATTATTTGTCATGATCTGTAAGTGACATCATAATTGTGTACTAGTTGATCAATGTACTAGTAGCTCTTGATGCGTGTACTTAACAGATCCTCTAATAATGTAGTCATAATTGTGATCAGTGCATGTATTGAATGTATTAATTCTATTGACACTTAATACTTACTATTTAATACATGTACATATTTATTTGTAATAATATTTGACCATGAAAATACTGTAGCAGAGGGATAACTTGTGGTACAGCAACGGTGGGCCAGCTACACTAACCGTAGCGTTAGTGTAGCGTAGTGTAGCTAAAATAAGCTAACATGTAGCGTAGTGTTAGCGCAAATCTGAAAATTTGCACTAACACTACGCACGCAGGGCGCCAGTGGGTATTAGCTGTTAGCGTAGTGTTAGCTTTATTTCACTCATCCACACTAACACTACGCCCATGGGGCGCAAAAAAGCGTCCGCTACACTAAGCTACAGCGCTTTTTAGCGGTTTTTTGGCCTTTTTTGCCGCTAACAGCGCTGTAGCGTAGCGTAACACAGCGTAGTG